GTATTTACATATCTAACACCTAAACTTTGCTTCTTTACATTATATGATCCAAATATTTCATATCACATAAAACATACTACTAGTGTAACTTTTAAAAAATCAAATACACCTTTTCATCCATATGTAAGGAGGCATAAACATAAAAATTAAAGTTTACGCATTAGATATGTAAATACATAAGAATTAAACTGTATGTAGGTTAATCTTTCAAACATTTTTCATATAAATACTTTCATTTGCATCAAATTTTCACAAAAAAGAAAAAAAAGTTTCCAAGCACTCACCTAACATAAACCGGGCCGCCACTGATAGCACGAGCCGACGCATGGAACTCACCAGCCGGATGAAGGGAATGGAACATATCCCAGTCGGGAACCATAAACTCCCCAAGGAAAACGCTATTAAATGCCACAGATGCAATGTGAATGGTATGTGAAACCGGATCCCTAGGATAGAAATCATCTGACGCTCGCACCACCGCTGTCTGCTTCGCACTGGTATTTCATCAAACACCAAATCTACATACAACAGTCCTAACACAAAACTCAAAAACTAAAAAATGGAAAAAGAAGATTGAAACTAACCAGTAGAGCGCATCAGTGTGGTGGCACATACAGGCAATGCACCCATTATCACGAAAATTTTTCGCAATGGATGCGTCGAGTGCATGGTGGTACTGTCTCGCAAGCTCCACTCGACCACCATGGCCGGTGCCAAGCGTTTCCAGAATGGACTGCACATCCACCTTGACCCCATCAACGCCGATGACTGCGAGATAGCTGTGTAACTCATTGTAGAACTTGTGAACACTCTTAGGGTCCATTAACCCAAGGCCTTGCAAGGTGAGTATATCTGATTTCATCCATGGCTCGTTCTCTGCAACACCAGGTGAGATCTTTGGGTACTGAATGGTTGACTTGAAATCCGCCATTCCTTGCGCTCCAGGCTGAACTCCGCCCCAATATCCGGCGAGCGCGTGCCAAACATAAACGTATTTGAGCCCATACTTCTCCTTCGCCCTCGAAACCATGGATTTCATACTCTCGAACTTGTTATTCTCTTTAGTCCCGATAAGCCGGGGCAATGAGTTTTCCTTCGGAGATGCTTTATCGGATTCAACGGATTGCCAGCCATCGTCTATGATGACAAATTTCGGTGGCGCGCCGCCGGAGATGAGACTGTGAAGACCGGCTTCGACGCCGGATTGAGTGACATCCTGGTAGAAGGCGTCCCAGGTACACCATCCGAAAAAATCAACGATCGCCGGAACGCGCTTCTCCTCACGAAGGCGAAAGGTTTTGAGATGGGATTTGACGACGCCAACTGCGCCGGTGATTGCAGCGAAGGGGTCGGAGACGGCGGTGCCGACGAAGACGGCGTGGGAAAAGTCGGCGGTGCAGATCTCTGCGTCGCCACTTTCGATGCATAGATCCAAGAAATCGTTAGGGTTTCCTTGAAGGGAAGCTCGGAAGGGGCCTTCGAGGATGGGAAGGAAGACGGAGTATGAGGTGTCCGTGTTCTCTTCGTTCTCTGGCCTGTTCTCCACAAGTAGGAATTGTGTTTCGCAGGGTATCTCTGCTCCTCTGTTCCCCATCTTTTGCGCCATCCACCATAGCTTGAAGCGGAAGCACGCCATGAATCTCGCTTCCCTGAAT